ATTGTGAATAGCTCATTATCCCAGGAGCTGGGGAACCTGGAGAAGTAGCAGATAGGGACGGAGGGGCACATACTTGTCACTCTGGGCCCTTAATTTGCTGAAGCTATAAAAAAGGAAGTAAATGTAATATCAAAATGAATAAAAACTCCATAACTATGCAACTCTAGACATAGAGTCTTGAAACATCTAGGAAAATAATTATACATTTTCCCTTTCTATTTAGCTATTACAAAAGCAGTATCTGTCCATTGTCAAAATAGTCAATAGTATAGAATTACAGAGACATTCATTTGCCCCTCCTCTAACTCACTTGCTAGACTCCCCAATGTCAAAACTTTGTGTATCTCCTAGAAATTTTTCCATTCAGCTACACTATACTTATATGTATATATATGTATATGTGTATATATATATACATATTATATAGATTCACACACACACATATATATATATATATTTTTTTTTTTTTTTGGAGACAGAGTCTCATTCTGTCTCCCAGGCTGGAGTGCAATGGCCTCACCACAGCTCACTGCAACCTGGACTCAAGTGATCCTCCTGTCTCAGCCTCCTAAATAGCTAGGACTACAGGCATGTACCACTGTACCTGGCCCCAAGTCTAATTTTTCTATTTTTTGTAGATATGGGTCTCATTCTTGCTCAGGCTATTCCGAACTCCTGGCCTCAAGTGATCCTGCTGCCTTGGCCTCCCAAAATGCTGGGGTTACAGCTGTGAGGCACCATGCCTGGCCAGATTCACATCCACATTTTACATGGAGTCACATGCCATATATTGTTCTGCAATTTTGCCTTTTTTTCTGTAACTTGACAGTGCGTCATAGACACCTGCTCATACAGATCTCTCATTGTTTTTAAAGGCTTGAGAGGTTTCCATTGTATAGATATACCACAGTTTAACCAACTCCTTACAGATATACATATAGCCTATTTCTGTATGCTATTTAACTATTAAAAATAATGCTACAGTGGATAATAATGATGATTTATTAATATGGAAGGAAAAAATCTAGGGATAAATGGACTAGAAAAAATCTGGGGAAAATGGTACATAACAAAACCTTGACCACTGAGCACAGTGTGGGGAGTCAGAGATGAGCAGATTCTCCTTGGTTCAGCTCCTCATTATATTAGGCTGATAGCTAGCATCCAAGAAAGAACCCCCCAAAAGTAAGTTAAAGGGAAAAAAAAACAAAGCACAGCAGGATTTTTGAGAGGCTGGGTGAAGTGAATTATATGCACATCTTAAAGAGAACTAAGAAAGTATTATAATTGAGTGTGCAGAAACTATAGAGAAACAGTATGTGTGATGTAAAACTCAGATTGATGGCATTATAAGAAGAAAAATGTTTGACAGTGTAGTCTTCATGTCAGCCCCCATAGGACAGGGGCTGTGTCTTACTCCACTTTGTAGCCTTGATAACTGGGCATAATTCCTGACAAGAGAAAGGTGTTAATAAGTACTTGAAATAATGACAAAGAATACTACTCTTAGCTGGGTATGGTGGCTCACACCTGAAGAATCAAGTGACCCCTGGCATGTCCTCAGCCTTGTTAACAGAGATTCCAGGGCAAAAGTTTAAGACATTATCCTCTGTGTGATGACCCTCTCCACTGAGGACCCATTGTCCAGTCAACCAGAGACTCAGACAGCTAGATGTGTGTGTGCGTGCACACATTCCATGCTAAGTGAAGATAAGCAAACAGATATGAGGAATTTACTCTTTTGAGAGAGAGAGAGAGAGAGAGAGAGAGAGAGAAGAGCCAGTTTGGTCACCCTCCACTTCTACATTAAGGTCAGCCAATTATTACCAAAAATATGCTAATGGGAAGATTGCTAACCCTGTTCTCCAACAACTGAACTCTCCAGAGTGGTGATTCATCCTCACTGTTACGACCTTGAGGCACTATGGGAAGAAAGACTGAATTAAATTCAACAGAATTGCTGTTATTATATTTTAATGTTCCCCATATTCATTCATTCAACAAACATGAGCAGAAGCATTAGATGCTTCAGAGATACCATTCCCTAGTCATTCCGAATCAGCAGGGTTGCTTGATGGAGCCTTTTCTCAGTTCCGTTCAGTACCCAACCAAAGCTGAAGCCTCTCTCCCCATCCTGGCAGGTGCTCTAGCTCATGACGAGACATGCTTTAGAGCAGAGGTCCCCAACCTTTTTGGTACCAGGGACCAGTTTCATGGAAGACAATTTTTCCATGAACTGGGAGAGGTGGTGGGGGATGGAGGGATGCAGAGCTCTGTGGTCTTGTCCCTAATAGGCCACGGACCAGTACCGGTCCACAGCCTGGGGATTGGGGACTGCAGCTTTGGAGTGTTGGAAATTAGTTTGCAGACAGAATTACCTGCTGGCCTTGCAAAAGAGAGGAGTGATCTGTTTAAGAAGACATTTCAAAAATCATGTTTCGGCAGTGTGGCTCAGAGGGCAGAGAACTAGACTCGAGTTGGGGGCCTTGGGTTCCAGGCCTTTATTACTACATTGCTGTATGGCTCCGGGCTTCAGTTCCTTCACTATAAAATAAAGAGTTCAGCTAGGTGATTTCCTGGCATGGACTACAGTGCTCTCTATTAGCACATGGGATAAAGGATGCTGATAAAATCAAATTAAGGTAAGCTTCCATAAGACAAAAAAATCCTGAGGATGCTAAGAATACTTCTCTTGGACACCAGTTGTAGGTGTGGATATTTTTCCTTCAAATCAGGCCTTCCTTGTACTCAGGCATTCTGGTAAGAGCTTCTCCTTCCTAAACTGGATCATCTGTCAACCCTGTCCTTACAGAAGGCCATGAGAACCTGCAGTTTTCATCAGGGACTCACAGCCATAAACCTGGTCCTTTGCCAGTTCTCTCCAGAAAGTCCTTTATTTCCAGCCCTCTAAGCACTGTGAGGTCCACCCAGGGCAGCCAAGCCTGGCCAACCTTCCCATGGCTCTCATGGCAAAAGGCAGCTTTAGGGCATCTCAAAGAGAAGCCTTCATAGGGCCACGGGCTGGGATCACTAATTAAACTATATTTATGGTCCTTACTAAAGCCATCATTTGTTTTGTAATCATGACTATCTTAGTCTGTTTGGGCCATTATAACAAAGTACCATAGACTGGGTGGCTTATAAACAACAGAAATTCACTTCTCACAGTTTTGGAGGCTGGAAGGCCAAGATCAGAGTGTCACATGGTTGGGTTCTGAAGAAGGCCCTCTTTTGGGTTGTAGACTGCTAACTTCTCCTTGTATCCTCACATGGCAGAGACAAGGGGAGAAAACTCTTTGGGGCTCCTTTTTTAAGAGCACTAATCCCATTCATAAAGGTTCCACCCTCATGACCTAATCACCTCCCAAACGCCCTATCTCCTAATATTATTCGAAGGCCTCACCTCCTAAGACTATCACATTGGGAGTTAGAATTTCAACATACGAATTTTGGGGAAACACGAACATTCAATTCATAACAATGATCAAGTTAGAGAAGTTAAGAAAATATCAACTCCAGGGCTCTTAACATACATAACAGTCACTACCAGGCAGGTAATGTCTTGTGTTACCTTTTGGTACTTTAAGGTACTTAGAGTGGTTCTAAAGGAACAGATTCAGAAGAGCTTTTTGAATTGGTTCTGGGGTTTCTGGAATTAGTGCTCTAATCTGATCTGACTTAAAGGCACTAATGACTGTATTTTCAGTGGTAAAGAGAGCACTGAGAGTGCACGGTGTGTTGTAGCAATAGAAATACACACAATATCGCCATTGGATACGCCTAATCAAATACTTATAATAGGCAAGGCTCTGGGTGACCATGAATGCCTCTTCAAGGGAAATCCATTGCTGGCTCTTAGGAGAAAGGGTTGTCCTTCCCTTCTTCCCCTCCACCTCCCACACTTTCCTGTTAATATAAAGACTTAATACTGGCTTTGGAAACGGATGGTTTCCCTTTGCTCATTGTTATAAGCCCTGGGACTGGGAGCAGTGGCCTGGAGGCGGCACTTCTGTGTTACTTGGCCAGGAGAAATCTCTTGAGGCAAAGGGAAATGGTGTCTCTCTGGGTCATTTGCTTTTTTCCTGCTTCTCTGTCCCATTCTTAAGAGGCCGTAGAGGAATAATAACAACCACAACAATAGCGGACTCTCACACGGTCCTTACTACATGCCAGGCACGTAGCTCTCAGTGCTATAGACAGATTCATGTTATTTCATCCTTGCCACAACCTTATGGGGCAAGTATTAACCCATTTTACAGATGGGGAAACAGAGGCAAAGTCAAACAGCTAACAAGGAAGGAGCTGGGGTTTGAGCCCAGGAAGTCTGGCTCCAAAGTCTATGCTCTTAGTGTGCTTGGCTGTTAAACAGGTGCATGTTGAATTCTGGCCCTGCCACTCAGCGGCAATATGATCTTGGACTGCATCCTAAACTCCCTGAGCCTCTGCCACCGAATGTTATCATCCATGAGAAGGATGAAAGCATTCACCTGGTAGGATTGCTGGGTGATTTAAGTGGGATGACAAATGCGCAGGGCTCAGTACAGTGCCCGCCACATTGTTAGGGTGCAGTAAATGGGTTTTACATCCACCGAGATGCCAGCAGGCTGCAGGCACAGTTGTCTCAGCCCAGCCCTAAGGCCACGGATAGAAGAGAAGGTGGTTGGCAGGGACTAAGTTCCTGGTGACCGTAGAACCTAGAACAGCTCTGAACTCAGGAGCAAAATGTGGAGAGGAGGAACCCTCAAGCAAAGTGCTCCTCTTCCAAAAGAGATTGGGAAAATGTTGTTTTGGGAAAGACATTTAGTGCTTAGTGTCCTAGAGAGGCAGGTCAGGCCTGTGCCTAGGAGGCCACTGCACCTGCCCTGCCGCTTGGCAGACAGGCTGCTAGTCTCCGCTCCCTCCCACCCCACAACGGTTCGTTCTGCTGGCCTGCCATCTTGGGTGGGCCGCATGGAGACCCTCACCTGTACAGATCCTGCGGTTCCCAGTTAGTTACTCACCTAATGTAGCACGGTTATTTCAGCAGGTGATATGGGCCGCGGGAGAACTGCAGCTGATAGCCTCCATAATGCCCCCACAGGTCCGCCTTGGTGTGAATGGGGAGAGGTCAGGTCACTAGTTCAGGCTGGAGAGAGTTCACTAGACTAATCAGATGTAAAAGAGACTGTGCAGGAAGAGAACGAAGGAAATTTTTAGTAAAAACAAAAAGTAAAGGCTGGGCGTGGTGGCTCATGTCCGTAATCTTAGCACTTTGGGAGGCCAGGGCAGGAAGATTACTGGAGGCCTGATGCGGAAAATGTCGGGTGCCGGGACATGGCCGCTTGCCACCTCCCCGTGGTTCCGCATCTCCGGGGGGGGGGGGGGGGGGGCCAGTGCTGCGCGAGGCCGGTTAGAGGCACACCGCTGGGGCTGGGCCCCCCGGCACCCAGCCACCCCCGACACCGCGTGCTGCCGGGAACCCGCATGCCGCAATGCCTCAGGCCCTCGTGCAGCGGCCTGTTTCCGGCCACGCTGCTTGCATGATCCTGATTGGGTAATTTTTGAATCCCTCTGTTTCCGATTGGATGTTAAAGCTTGTTGCTGATTGGATGTTAAAGCTTGTAGTTGATTGGACGCTTCTTGAGCCCTACCAAGGGTATAAAAGCAGGGGCAGAAGGACAGGAAGGGGGAGAACATGGGAAGAAAGGAATAGAGTTGTATCATTAGGCCTGTTGAGTCTGCTGTAGAAGAATAAAGGCCGTTTTCCGGCTCTTCGTGTGCGGTTCTTTCCCTGGTCAAATGAATAAGAGCTGTACCAAGGGCTGTAACACTAGCTGTACACACTGCTGCAACAGCCAGGAGTTGGAGACCAGCCTGGGCAATAGTTAAACCCCGTCTCTAAAAAATTAGCTGCACCTGGTGGTGCGAGCCTGTAGTTCCAACTACTCAGGAGGCTGAGGCAGGAGGATTGCTTGAGCCCAGGAGTTTAAGGTTGCTGTGAGATATGATGACACCACTGCATTCTAGCACAGGCGACAGAGCAACAAAACAAAACTTAAGCACAACAGAATATTATTCAGCCATGAATAGCAATGATGTGTTGATACATGCTACAACATGGATGACCTTGAAAATAATATGCTAAGTGAAAGAAGCAGACACAGATGGCTGTATGTTGTACGATTCCATTTATATGAAATTTCCAGAGTAGATAAAGGGACAGAAAGGAGATTAGTACCAGGGGCTTGGGAGAGGGGAGGGCACGGAGTGACCAGTAATGGGTATGGGGTTTCTTTTTGGGGTGTTGATAATGTTCATAGTGGTGATGGCTGCACAACATTATGAATATATCAAAACCACCACTAAACTGTACACTTAAAAATGCTTAAAATGGTGTTTTATGTTATTTGAATTATATCTTGGAAAAAAATAAAAAAACAAAAATTAAGCAATAAATTCAAGTATTCCAAAACAAATACCAAAACAGTTAAGAATTTAAAGGTAGCCTTCTTTATATTTTTCTGCATATTCTACATATTCTACATAAGCATGAATGGCTTTTTGAAAACACTTTTTTATTTTGAAATAATTATAGGTTCACAGGAAGTTGCAAAGATAGTACCAAGGGATCCTGTGCACTCTCAGTTTCCCCCAATGGTTACAATCTTACATAACTATAGTACACATGGAAACCAGGAAGTTGACATTGGTACAATGTGTGGGTAGAGTTCTATGCCCTTCTATCCCAGGTGCAGGCTGCGTAACCACAGTGTAGCAAAGACACAGAACTATTCCATCACCACATGATCTCTGTCATGCCACCCCTTTGTAATCACACCCATCCCCCTTCTCCCTACCAACCCTAACCCTCGTCAACCACTCATCTATCTGTTCTCCATTGCTGTGATGTTGTCATTTCAAGATTTCCAGACTGGTCTATAAATGGAATCACATAGTATGTGACCTTTTGAGGTTGGTTTTTTCACTTAGTGTCATGCTCCTTGAGGTCCATCCATGTTGTTGCATATGTCATTGGGTTGCTGTTTTTATTGCTGAATAGTACTCTACGGTGTGGATGTACCACAGTTTGTCTAATAATTTACCTATTAAAGGGTATTTTGGCTGTTGCTGGATTTGGGCTTTTACAAATAAAGCTGTTCTGAGCATTCATGTGCAGGGCTTTTTAATTTTTTTGTAGGTGTTTTTATTTCTCTGGGATAAATTCCCAGGAGAACAATTGCTGGGTCGCATGGTAAGTATGTTTAGGTTTTTTTTAAAAAAAAAAACTACCATACTAGTTACCAGAGTGTCTGTACTGTTTTATACTCCACTAGCAATGTATGAATGATCCAGTTTCTCTGCATCCTGCCATCACTACTCTTTTAAAATTTTATTTTATTTTTTGCTTTGTTTTTTGGGTTTTTTTTGTTTTTTTGTTTTTTTGAAACAGTATCACTCTGTCACCTGGGCTAGAGTGCAGTGGCGTCAGCCTAGCTCACAACCACCTCAAACTCCTGGGCTCAAGCCATCCTCCCGCCTCAGGCTCCTGAGTAACTGGGACTACAGGCATGCACCACCACACCTACCTAATTTTTTATTATTTTTTGTAGAGATGTTGCCGAAATGTATACAGCTAGTGTTATAGCTCTTGACCAGGGAAAGAACCGAGAGGCACACAAAGAGTGGGAGAACAGTCTTTATCCTTCTACAGAAGGCTCAGCACACCTATTGCTACAGCTCTCTTCCCATCTTCTGACCCTTCTGACATCCCCCTTCCTTGGTCTCCTCCTGCTTTTATACCGTTGGTAGGACTCAAAAAGCGTCCAATCAACAACAAGCTTTAACATCCAATCAACATCAAGCTTTAACATCCAATCAACATCAAGCTTTAACATCCAATCAAAAACAGTGGGATTCAAAAATTACCCAATCATGGTCACGTAAGTAACGGTAATCTAGGTGGCAGCACGTGGGTCCACTGGCCACATACCAGCACAGCGGGGCCTGGCCCCAGCAGTGTGCCCTCTAACTGGCCACGTGGAGCCCTGGCCCTCAGAGCTGCAGAGCGATGGGGAGGTGGCAAGCAGCAGTGTCCCAGTGCCAGACATTTTCTGTATCAGAGACAGGGTCTCATTATATTACTGGCTGGTCTTAAACTACTGGCCTCAAGTGATCATCCCTTCTCAACCTCCCAAAGTGCTGGGATTACAGGCATGAGCCACCGGGTCCAGCCCACCATTTCTTAATCCAGCTGCTCTAATAAGTGTGCTGTGATATCACCTCATGATCTTAATTTATATTCCTTATTGGTAGTGATGTTGAATATCTTTTCATGTGCTTATTTGCCATTCATACCGAGCAGTGAAATCTCTTCACACCTTTTGTCCATTTTCTAATTAGATTGTTTGTTTTCACTGTTGAATTTTAAGAGTTCTTTATAAGTCCTTTGTCAGAATGTGTAGCTTGCAAATATTTTCTCTGTCTGTAGCTTGTCTCTTCATCCTTTTAACAAGGTCTTTCCCCAAGCAAAATTGTTTTTTGATTTTGATGAAGTCTAATTTACTGATTTTTCTTATAGATTGTGTTTTTTTGGTGTTGTGTCCAAGAACTCTTTCCTTCTCAAACCCTAGATCCTGTAGATTTTCTCCTGTGTTTTTTTCTAAAAGTTTTATAGTTATGAATTTCTTTTTGAAAAGGCATTTTTTTAAAATATAAAAGAAGTGCATGCTGATTGCGGACTCTTTGGAATATGAAAAAAACTCAAAGGGAAAATTTAATTAACTATAATACCAACATCCAGAACTATGTTTTGGTGTTAGATGCCCGATCTCGAAACCTTAATAAAAGTGTGACCTCTCTTATAATGGGAAAATAGAATCCTCCAAACAGTAAACTGCGCTAGTGAGTACCAACTGGGAGTGCTGAAGAAGAGGTGTCTCTCTTAATGCTGATATCAGCTGGGGGAGTTGCCCTTCAGAAAAGACCAAGAACTACTGACCCAAACGGTAAAACTCTTGTTTATGAACCGCAGCTGTTAGTCACAGACCGTAATTACCCCACCAGATAAAGAAGCTATTTGGGAGAGCAGGTTGCTACAGCTGAAAAGAAACAGAAAATAGAGTCTTTTTTGGAAATCACTGGATTGTAACTAAGGGAAATGTCAGGTTTGAAGGTGGAATGGATCTTTGTGTATTTTTGCGGGCTTGAAGACAGACGGGCTGATCTAGCAGGATGATGGCCAAACCTGTCTGTTTTGTTGGGGAGTAATCTGTTGAATTTCCCTTTTTTCAAGCCCTGGCATGTGAGGGCTTCTGACAGCCAGCATCCTCCTAACCTACCCACTTCTGATCCTGGAACTCTGCTTCTTACCACACATTCCTCCCCTACCTGACTTGTGTCACATGGTAACAGCTGTGATCAAAGTAGTAACTCCAGCCACAGCCCTTCCCCCTCAACAAACGTGAGCCAGTTTTAAAATGAAGCATTAGGTATTTCAGAGACATCATTCCTCACTTCCCACCCCCAACCTTGCAAGAAGCTGATACTCCGGTGAAATTTGCTATTTAAATTCTTTTGTGAAGTTATGAAACAATCCTGAACTTGATTTGGTCAGTTGAGATGTTCACATATCAAGTTTGTACCCAAGAGAACATTGTTTGAATTATTTGCCTATGTACTTGCAAAGAAAATCTTACTTTTTCATGACCAAGTAATAATCACTGTTGTTTGTTGAATATTGAAGAATCAGATGAAACCCCTGGATGGTGACAGACACAAAAAATTCACAAATATTAGGTTAAAAGTTAATTATATGGTGAAAATTGCCACGTGCATGTCCATCAAAAGGGAATTGGTTAGCATATGTTATGATATACCCATTCAAAAGCTCAGCACTTATTGCCACGGAAAGGTTCCTACATATGTTGAATTAAAAAGCAGGTCATAAATTAACATGGAGAATTTGATCCCATTTTTAAAAAAGGCATTGGGAAATAAATATACCAAAATATCATTAGTGGCGATCTCTGGGTGATTAAGTTTACAGTGAATTTTATTCTTTCCTTAGTTTTCCATATCTGATTGTATTGAGCTTATACTGTATTACATTAATAATCAGAAAAAGAAGATAAAGAGATTTTGATTAATGGGTACAAGTATTCAGCTAGATAGAAGAAATAAGTCTTAGTGTTCGATAGATCAGTAGGGTGACTACAGTTTGTAATAATCTAATGTACGTTTCAAAATAACCAGAAGAGAATAATTCAGATGTTTCTAGCATAAAGAA